ATTTGTACCCACTGGATGCAAACATTCAATGGAAGAAGTCTCTTCTGGTTCATTACGTTTTTTAAAAAGAAGCTGACTGTGGAATTGACCCAAGCCATGGTACTTTCCATTGCTTTATGTGCACGTGAGAAGTGGACGCTGCCTAAGGAGACTGAAGAAGAACCGGGCATTTGCGTTGTGGTGCTGGAGAAGAGTACTCAAAGCACCATGGACCGCCAAAAGGACAAGCCAGACAGTCTTGGAAGAAGCGTGGCCAGAGTGCTCCTTAGAGGCAAGGATGGCGAGACTTCACGATACATATTTTGGGCATGCTGTCAGGAGAGACCCGTGAGAAGGACATCAGGCTTGCTAAAGGGGCAGCAAAGGACAGAGAGGCCCTCAATGAGACGGATTGGCATAGAGTCTGCAACACCAGGCTCAGGCAGAGGGCCGACGGTGAGGGTGCTGCAGGACTGGGCAGTGTTTCATTCTGTTGTGTGTAAGTGACCCCGTAGCACCTCACAACAACAAATAACCTGATGTCACTCCCAACAAGAAGTGGCACCTGTGTGCCCTCTCCTGAGCCCAGGTAGGCCCTAGTGGCTGCCTCAAAGAGAAGAGCTAAGTAGTCGTGGCCCTATGGGATTCTGAGGCTGGTAGAAAACGTCACGCAGTTCTTCATGCATTGTGAATTGAATTATGCATGCGTGCGCACATGCACATACAGTGAGTTTGGAATCCTGTTCTTTTTAATGCAAATTAGACCCTATCTGAGCCCGTGAGTTCGCTACGTAACCGTTTCTGAGTTATCAAAAGGCAGAGAGGACAGGGAGGCATACATACACGGATGAGCAGGAACAGAACAGAGAAAGATTCGCCTTCAAGTCTTGATTCATGCCACAACACGAATGACCCTGGAGAACATTATACTGCCCGATAGAAGCCAGACACAAAAGACCACATCCTGTGTTATTTTATTTATAGGACAATGTACAGAATAGGTCCTTTGTTCTTCTAAACACATTTTAGAATCGGCTTGTCCAGGTCAATGAAGGGATACACGGAGAGAGAGAAGAACTGATTGCCACCAAGGAAGACGGGCTGGGAGCAGGGCACCATCTTTTGGACCCAGGGTCACTGGGCCGAGAACCTCCTAGACACAGGGAGGATTGATGCCAAAGCACACGGAGCTCTCCAAAGGACGCGGGACTCACAGACATGGAGAGAAAGAGCCAAGGACCTTCCCCCATGACAGCAGAGGGAGGGAGCCCTACCCTAGAGCCAGCCCTCTGGGTTCTAATTGAAATGGGCACCGAGAGAGGGGACAGCTTTCAATTAAGTCAGCCCACCTGGTAGAGACCCCTGAAGAGGTGAGCGGCTGACTGGAGTCAGGGGAACGGAGGCTGACTGATGGAGGACTGTGTCAGACAGGGTTCTCTAGAGAGATAAAACCAAATTGCTGATAATTTAATATATTTATTTATAAAGATAATTAGATATATAACACAAGAAATGAACTGTTAAATCATATACAGATAAATATGTAATACAAGAAATAAACAGTTTATAAAGCACTACAAATGGCTCAATACAACTCACTCCCGTTAGAGAGAGTTGTGAGAGACTAGCAGTCCTTCCAGTCCAGTCTGCTGCCAGATCTTCCTCTATTTATAGAGAGAGCTAGGCTATGTCAGCACAGCAGCCAATCACAAGGCAGGTCACCAACTGCCAGCCAGGTCACCAACTGCCAGTCCCCAGCTCCAGCGACGTCTTAAAGGGACCTCAACTTACAGCGACACAGTCCACAGGCTAGGCGTCCCACAGGCAGTGCAGCCTTTAAATTGAGGCACAGGACAAGCAAGGCAGCCGCACACTGGCCCGATGATCAAAGAGCGAGAGACAAGAAAGGCAAGACTCACCAAGCCATTTCTCTCTCTGCCCCTCAGTCAATCCCACTTGTGTTTATCGGCCAGGCTGGCACAATAAACTATCTCAAGGACCAACCAAAAACTTGCTGCCACTGAGTCCATGCTGACTCATACTGACCCACTGTGGGTTTCCAAGACTGTACTCCTGTCTACAGGAGTAGAAAGCTCTGTCTTTCTCTCTCTCTTTTTTTTAAAAATTGCTATTTATTGAGGGTTTTTTCCCTTTCACCCCAGGGGAAGGAACAGTTGATTGAAAGCCACTTATAAATAAAGTCCAAAGGGGATTTTGACACTTGCTCACTGTTTCTGCTCTTTCTCTTGAGGAGCTGCTGGTGGTTTTGAACTAGCCAAGCATGTGGATCACAGCCCAACTTGTAACCACTACACCACCAGGGCTCCCTGGATGTTGGAGGAAGGAAACCATAAATCTCAGTGAGGGTGTCATGACCTACGCTTCTGGGTCTTGCCCGTTGGGAAGAAATTGTCTTTGAAAGGTGCGGCCCCTGGGGAAAGATAATGTAACAGAGTATCAACAGTTCAACCTGTTTCTAACAAGAAAAGCTCAGCTGAGCTTGCCTTTCACTAATTTACAGGAGGGGAGTGAGCCTTTCTGAAAACAGAACCCTGCAGGGGTGGGGAAGATGAGTCTCAGGTTTCTAAGGGCTTGGAATTCGCGGAAGCAGTGTGTACACCACTGGTTCTCCACCTTCCTCATGCGGAGACCCTTTCATACAGGTCCTCGTGGGGTGTGACCCCCCCAACCCTCACATTCTTGTCGTTGCTACTTCATCACTGCCATTTTGCTACTGTGATGAATCAGGTGACCCCTGTGAAAGGGTCGTTCGACCCCCCAAAGGGGTTGCAACCCACGGGTTGAGAACCGCGGGTGTAAACTCTTCCTGGTGTCTGTCAACCCACATAGTCATCAAGGGCTGTGCTGGGAGAAGAGGGTGGAAGGAGGAGTGGGTGAGGCTCCAAGGAGGACTTGAGATCAGACCAAGGACAAGCAGGAAGGGCTGCTGGGTCTCTCTGCGTGCGGGTCTGCTTCCAGGGAGCGAAACTGCAAACGCCAGCCAGCGCTGACACACCTCTATACTCCTGTTACTATCCGTGTTCGTGTTGCTGTAACAGTGATTACAAAAAGGATGGGTGAGTACCACAGTTCTGGAGGCCCGGCGTCTGTCCGTCCTGGCTCCTCCAGTTTCTGGTGGCCTCGGGAGGTCCCCAGCTGTGGCACCAATCACTCTCCCCTCCATTTCCTCTTCACATGGAAATGTTCTCTGTCTCCAACTTTGCCCTTCGGTCTCCTGTACTGGACGGACGCCGGTCACTGGATTCACGGCCTGTCTTAGCAATCAAGCGCTGCTCTAACCGAAGCACCTCAAGCAGACACCTTAAACCAGCGGAAATTTGTCCTCTCGCGGCTTGGGGTCTCCAAGTCCAAGCTCAGAGCTGTGGCTCCAGGGGAAGGAGCCAGGGGCCCCCCCACCCAACCCCTGTGAGTTGGAACTTGGAGTTGATGAGTTTAGTTTGGGTTTTGAAGGAAGGAATCGTGGGGGGAGGGGGGAGCTGATGGCTGTGGGAAGGGTGGAAGACTGGTGTCTTAACCAGACACCAGGAATGCCGTCAGGCAGCACATAGGGCTTGTGGCCAGATCTCTGACTGGTGGTCTGAAGCCGGAGAGAAATGCTGAGCGTGCACCCAGAGCTGAGGGCGAGGTCCCCCCACTGGCAGGCAGCAGAGGCCAGACTGCTGTGTGGCGTGGTGAATGGGGTCAGGGTGGACAGCGGCAGTGGGAACGTTGAATGGTGCCGGGCACACTGGTTTTCCTTTGGTTTGGTTTTCCTATTCCACAGGCGAACAGAGTGGTTCGTGAGGTTTTGCTGGAAGGAGAAGCTTAGTGATAATGGTAGAAACGTCAAAGATCAAGGCTTCTTCACTGGTGCTCTCACTTGCAATATTCTTCGCTCTTGACCTGTCATCCTCTGCTGTGTGATTAACCATCTTAAGGACGCGGAACCATCTTTCCACCGTAGGAGTAGGATCCCATTCCTTTAGAGGTAGGCAAATTAGACAATAGTCATTGTGTTTGATAGATTAGAATCTGTTAGGCGACTTCTCTTCTCTGAAGAGAATATGTTCATCTTTGGAAGAACCCCTCTCTGCTTCTGCTAAATGTACATTGTTCTGACAATATTTTTAGCTCTTTGAACACTTTCCGAAATTGCATAATTGGCTCTTAATGCCTCATGGGAATTTGGGGCAAGAGCACAAAGCTGAAACGATGGACAGGGTGTCACCCTCTGGTTGCTTGGCAGTTTTTCTCTTTCTCTTATATTTTTAACTAACGAATTAACAAAGACAAGGGGATAACAATGTAGTATTTCATCAAAAGTATGAGTTTTATGAAATGGATAAATAGGTATTACAAGCATGGTTTCGTCTTATTTTTTTATACCGATGGACGAATGAACATCATTACAGGCGCTTATAATACGCTGTTGTGCAGACGGAAGTTAAAAATGAGTCAGGAATGTAAATTTGTGATTGCCACATCCCAGCCGCCCACCTTAGAGAGAACCCGATTGAGTGCCATTTTAACAACCGGTTCTCCGAACTCAACACAAAATTAGGGATCCTTTCTGCGGAACCCGCGGGAGCCAGCTGCATGCCACCACTGGGTCAGACCAATTGCAACAGGGACATGGGCTCTTCCCCTCAAGCACCCGCGTGCACCCAGCAGGTGCTCACGAAATGTTGAGCCAGTAGAACGTGGGAAACGACAAGCGAGGTTTATTCACTGGGGACTTGAAAGGCTGGCGCCCTGAAAGGGGAACACCAAGAAGTTCCGAAGCCGCAGCATCAGAGCAGGTGCACGGTACCGCCAGCAGAGGGAGGAAGGCGGACGGAGGCCAGTGAGACTACATTTCCCAGAATCCTGCGCCCGGACGGGCCACTTCCGGCCCCTCTGCCCTCCCTGTCCCGGGAGGCGGGCTGAAAGAACGCGAGGGTGCGTGGGGGCGCGTCGGCGTCAGGGCGCGTGACGCTCTTCCGGTGCGCCCCCTCGCGTCTCCTCCGTGCCGGCTCTCAGGCCCGGAGGCGTGAAGGTGACAGCGGGAGGTGACCCTGCTATCCGCCGCGATGCTGGCGGCGCGACGGCTGCTCGGCGGGTCGCGCCCCGCGCGAGTGTGCGTGCGTTTCAGCGGCGACACGGTGAGCCCCGGCCTGGCTCGCGGCTAGCGCAAAGACCGTGCAGGTGGCGCCCATGTCCCCATCCTTCCTTGCCACGGCCTTGCAGGACGAGACACGAGGGTCGTTGTCCGGTTTTACAGATGCAGAAAACAGCGTCGCTCTGCGCCCTATAGTGGCTGAGACGTGCTTTTAAGGGGACGCAAGCCAGGCTCCCAGTGCCGTCAGCCATGGTGCACCCCATTGGGTCTTGTAGTATTTCCGTCCCCATCTCCCTCAGTTTTCTCCCACGGGGGACCTCTCCCATCAATAAATACATCTTAAGCGAAGGCCCCTGCTTTCGCTCAGTGTGTGGTCTAGTGGGAGAGTCCGACCAACTGTGGCCCGGTCCTTCCCCAGGCCTTGCAGGTGCAGTGGGATCAGCCCCAGATTTCCCTGGCTCCCATTCTGACACCTGCTGTGTGAGCTCTGTCGCCTGCTTTCCCTCTGTGCTCCACTTCCACCTCTAAAGTGGCAGAGGGCATCCTGCTGCAGGTGGTCCCAGGAATGCAATCGCGGTGGTGCAGGATGCCATAGACAGCGCCTGGCCCGCGTGCCTAAGACCCTGCCCTCCCCCAGCCCACCCAGCCTCTCCTAAGCAGGGGGATCCAAGAATCTGCAACACCCCTCATGGCCCCAGAGTTCCATTGCCTCCCATCTCCTGACTCTCTTTCCCAGACAGCGCCCAAGAAAACCTCGTTCGGCTCCTTGAAGGATGAAGACCGGATTTTCACCAACCTGTATGGCCGCCATGACTGGAGGTAAGTGGGGGCCCATAGCCTGGTGGGTCCAAGTGCGGGACCTCCCATCACTGGCCTCCCCATCCTGTCCAGGCTGAAGGGAGCCCAGAGCCGCGGCGACTGGTACAAGACCAAAGAGATCCTGCTGAAGGGGCCTGACTGGATCCTTGGCGAGGTCAAGACGTCGGGCTTGCGGGGCCGTGGTGGCGCCGGCTTCCCCACTGGCCTCAAGTGGAGCTTCATGAACAAGCCCTCCGATGGCAGGTGTGGGGAAGGCAGAGCGGGGGCGGAGGTGGGGGGCTGTCATTCAGGAGAGTCCCAGTAGTTGTGGGAGCCCATCTGGGCCTTGGGACAGCTTCCTTAGAGACAGTGATGATGGAGGTGGGAAGATGCTCCCAGGGCTTATGTGAACGGGACGGGTAGGTCTCGCTACTCTGCTTCAGTGGGGACGCATGGAGGAGCAGAGCCCACTGAGGGTTTTGACTCCGACAGAGTTAAGCCTCGAATTTCGTTTTCCCAAGTGGGCATGGCAATATTGTACAGGGATTAAAAAGAGATCGCTCAGCACTGGGCTCGCATGTTGACCCATACATGGGGGAAGGCTCCTTGTGAGCAGGAGCAGAGTGTGGGCTCAGCACAGGGAGCCGCAGTTGGACTGAGCAGGACAGAAGCCTTTTCTGTGGCCATAGATGGGACACGCAGTGAGCTCCCTGCCATTGGTAGTGAACCAGCAGACACTCCAGGAACATGGTGAGAGGGAATAGAGGGATGGGCCCTTGGAGGGTACATACTTGGGAGGAGTGAGGGTGTCATGGGGTTGACGGCCCAGCCCCAGTGGGCACGCAGCCTGGCTGACCTGCTGACCTTGCAGGCCCAAGTACCTGGTGGTGAATGCGGATGAGGGGGAACCGGGCACCTGCAAGGACCGAGAGATCATGCGCCATGACCCCCACAAGCTGGTGGAAGGCTGCCTGGTGGGAGGCCGGGCCATGGGCGCCCGAGCGGCCTACATCTACATTCGAGGCGAATTCTACAACGAGGCCTCCAATCTGCAGGTGGGCAGGGGGTTGCTAGGGGTTCACGCTTGCCCCACTCACCCAGCAGTCATTTCTCATCATGAATGGACCCAGGCCCGCAAACCTGCTTCCTCTGGGCCTCTGTTCTGTTTTCCTCAGACCCCAGGCGGGAGGCCCTCCGGAAGACTTTTGAGGTGGGCTCATGCGGAGGGTCCTCACTGGCGGGCATGTTTCCTGCAGAAGGGTCAAGGGGGCAGCTTAGGAATCCTTAGTCTGGTGATGCCTGTAGTCTAGGGACAGACAGACACCCCTTTCTACCCGGCCCCGAGCAGCAGAGGCCTACAAGACGGGCCTGGCGCAGTCTGGCAGGGAGTCGGCGGCGTAGGTGGTGGTCTGGTTGTCATCACATGTCAAAAAAATTAACCTTGAGAGTGTTTTCCATGTGGATGTGTGTGCTCACAGAGCCAGAAAACCGTAGGAAAGAAGACGCCCTTCAGGGAACCACCCTCAACTGCGAGCTGAGAATACGAGTTATTTCTTTACACGCTTTCTCCCGCAAAGCACGTGCTCTGATGATTGGCTGAGTGTTTTTCTAGAGGTGACATGCACACTGAAAGTCCAGGCTCCCCGACCTGGGCTCTCCCGGTCGGTGACCTCCCACCCTCCCCCAGGTGGCCATCCGAGAGGCCTACGAGGCAGGTCTGATTGGCAAGAACGCCTGTGGCACCGGCTACGACTTTGACGTGTTTGTGGTGCGTGGAGCCGGAGCGTACATCTGCGGGGAGGAGACCGCACTCATCGAGTCGATTGAGGGCAAGCAGGGCAAGCCCCGGCTGAAGCCACCCTTCCCCGCCGACGTGGGTGAGCCTGCCCCGCCCCGCCCTCGTTGCCACCCCAAACAAAGCAAGCGCACTGCCCTGGTGTCCCTGACGACTCATAGGACAGGGCAGAACTGTCCTCCGAGACTAACTCTTCATGGGAGTAGAAAGCCCCATCTTTTTCCCACCGTCATTCCTGTGGAATCTGGGGTCTGGCCTCAGGCCCCCACTGGGCCACTGTGGCGTTCCTGAGCCCCCAGTGGCCGTGGGCCAGTGCCCCCTGCAGCCCTCCTCCTGCTTCAGCCCTCGAGCCCCTCCCAGTTCTGTGAGCTCATCTTTGGCTCCGCCTCCACAGAGCCCGGCCTGGAGCTGGGTATAGGGGCGATGCAGGCAGACACTGCTGCTGCTGCTGCTGCTGCTGCTGGACTAGGGTCCAGCAGAGGACAGGACCAGGCAGGGAACAGGCGGGCGGTCTCGGTGCGACCCTGCTCCAGCCGTCCGGTCTTGCCCTTTGTCCTGCAGGGGTGTTCGGCTGCCCCACCACCGTGGCCAACGTGGAGACGGTGGCTGTGTCCCCCACCATCTGCCGCCGTGGCGGGGCCTGGTTTGCCAGCTTCGGCCGTGAGCGCAACTCGGGCACCAAACTCTTCAATATCTCTGGACACGTCAACCACCCGTGCACCGTGGAGGAGGAGATGTCTGTGCCGCTGAAGGAGCTGATCGAGAAGCATGCTGGTGCGGTGGGGGGCTGGCAGGTGGGCGGGATGCAGTGGAGGATGGGCAGGCGGCAGGGGGTTGGGGATACCTGGTGTTTCGGGACAGTGCTCTGGCCTTATCGCTGACTGGGCACCTTTCTGGGGACTGACTGGGGCTCCAGGGGGTGTCACAGGAGGCTGGGACAACCTTCTGGCTGTGATCCCTGGCGGCTCGTCTACCCCCTTGATCCCGAAGTCCGTGTGTGAGACGGTGCTCATGGACTTCGACGGGCTGGTGCAGGCTCAGACGGGTCTGGGCACGGCGGCCGTCATCGTCATGGACCGCTCGGTAGGCCTCGCATCGAGCCTCCCCCTGGGCTTGTCTGAAATCCCGGGGGTGCCCATGCCAGCTGGGCGGTTGGTGGGGAGGAGATGGGAACGGGAAGGAGGGTTGTTGCTGGGAGCTGAGTTCGCACCTCCTCGCTGCCCTGTGTCCCCCAGACGGACATTGTGAAGGCCATCGCCCGCCTCATCGAGTTCTACAAGCACGAGAGCTGTGGCCAGTGCACCCCGTGCCGTGAGGGTGAGCTCCCTGCCTGCCTGCTGTCCCACTCTGGGCCCTGGGCTTGAGCAGGCCGCTGTAGCCTCCTGGCCTGTTCCAGGGCTCCTCCAAGGCACACCCTCTCACCCCAGGCCCCTTCAGGAGCCCATCCAGCCCCTTCCCATGTCTGCAGGTGTGGACTGGATGAACAAGGTGATGGCCCGCTTCGTCAAGGGTGATGCCCGGCCGGCCGAGATCGACTCCCTCTGGGAGATCAGCAAGCAGATCGAGGGCCACACCATTTGTGCCCTGGGTGACGGAGCCGCCTGGCCCGTGCAGGTACTTGCGGCCAGCCTGGCAGGCGGGGGGCACTTGGAAGTGGGTGCCCAGGGCTGGGGGGCCAGAGCATCCTCACACCAACCCCTCCCCCCAGGGCCTGATCCGACACTTCCGGCCTGAGCTCGAAGCGCGGATGCAGCAGTTTGCCCAGCAGCACCAGGCCCGGCAAGCCGCCCTCTGAGCCTGTCAGTCCATCTGTCTGTCCTCTGGGTGCTGACAATAAAGCAAGTGCTGCTGCTCCTGTCGCTGTCCCGGTGCTGCCCCACCCCCACTGCTGCGGCTTTCCCTGGGGCCAGGGCACAGGGTCCGCCAAGGTCACCATTGGGTCCCGTGGATCACCAAGGCTGCCCTCAGCAGTGCTGACCGGCGCCTGGGAGGCCTCCCCAGGTTGGGGCTGGGGGCTGTGGTGCAGAAAGCACAGACTGGTTTGGTTTGGAGCAGATGTTTATTTTTGCATCAGGGTTGAGTGGCGGGTGGGTCTCAAGCTGGGAGGGAGGCAGGCAGGGAAGCAGCTCTGAGCAGGGGCTGGGCCTGCTTGTCCAGCAGGAGGGTGGGGTGATGGGCAGGGCTAGTCGCTGAGTTGGAGGGGCACGCCGTCCAGCGGGTGCCACAGCTCCAGCCGGTGGTTGCTGTGGCCCAGGCACTCACGCCAGTGCCACAGGCGCTCCCCACTGGCATGGCTGCCCAGCTGTACCCCACCTGGTGGGGGGTGAGGGTGAGGGCCCTGGGCACTCCTCAGGCCTCCCACCCAGCCCCCCACAGCTCACTCACCGATGAAGTCATCCGCAGTGCCCAGGTCATAGTCCCACACAGACACCAACAGCGTCTTCTGAGCCAGCTCCTCCCGAGGGCCCCCATAGAAGAATTCCTGAGGGAGGAGAGCGGAAGGAGGTCCTGGGGTCCTGGGACGGAAGGAGGGGCTGGGCAGGACCAGGGCATACCCTACAGAGGGAGCCTGACCTCATTGAACTCGGGGTTCAGGGTCTTCTTTCGAACACTGGTCTTGTACTTGGATTTCTTTCCCACGTTGGGCTGCAGAAGACTGACGCAGGGCGGTGTGGGTCAGGTCAGCTGTGGCCCAGCAAAGGTGGGCCCCACCCCGGGCTCACACTCACAGGCGGACAAAGGGGTCCGAGTAGCCGTTGGCATCCATGGGGGCGAGGTGGGCACAGCGTAGCACACCCACCAGCAGGCCGCCCCTCTGAGAGCTGTAGCAGAGTGACAGCAGGATGCGCCCCCGCTCCGCCCCAGCTGCCTCCTCCGCTTCTGTCTCCTGCGAGTGAGGGCCACTTCAGCCCCTTGGCTGGCCACACCCCCGCCCAAGGGACCCCGGCTTCGAAGGCATCTGGGACCAGAGAGCCATGGGGACCCCCATCCTACAAGTCAGGGAGCCTGGGGGGCGGGGGCTCCACGCTAAGGCGGAGTGCCTGCCTTCTGCTACAGTCTGGCCCTGGTGCTCCACATAAAAAAATAGGCCTGGGGTTCTGGGAGGTCCCCCCTCCCTTGTCCTGGGGAAGGAGGAGGAGCCCGCTGTGAGCACTTGTAGCAGGGGGTGGGGTGCAGGAGGTAGGCCCCACAGGTTGCTCAAGAGCACCAGCTGAGCCTGTAGCAATCTGTGTCTCCCCTACGGGGCAGAGGCACCAGGCCCTTCCTCTGAGTAGGGCCTTGGAGAGACCCTGGGCCCTGGCCTTAGCCTTGGGGTTGGGGGCTCTCCTTGCATTCCCACCGAGGGTGGGGCCTGGTCTCCACTGGGCCCACAGTACCCAGCAGTCACCCTTACTGCCCCTCCTCCTTCCAAGAGGGTCTGCCTAGAACTGCACCCCTGCTCCATCTCCCTGTGCCCATCCCTTCCAGCAGGGGTAGGCACCACTGGCCCTAGCCCTTGGCCCCAGCCTGTCCTAGTCCAACCTCTGCCTTGTTACTTGTGCCCCGGGCCGCCTAGTCCTCCTTGGGGGCACCGCCCTGCCCCCGCCCCAACCAGGGCTCCCAGGTCAGCCCAGGCGTCCGACCCACCTCCTCATACAGAGACATGCCGCGGGCAGCGTCCAGACTCTTGGGCCTCTTGATCTAAAAGCAGTGTCCAAGTGGACTCAGTGAGGGGCAGCGCCCTCTCCCAGGCTCCCAGCCCCGCAGCCCCGCTCACCAGTCGTCGCTTCTCCAGGCACACGTCGAAGCTCCGCGCGCGGTTGGGCACCAGCTTCCTCAGGGGCACGCGCAGCTCCCCCAGGGGGGGACCCCGCCCGCGTCTCCGCAGCCGTGGGTCCTCACACACACACAGCCTGGTGGTCCCCGCCGTCAGGCCTGGCCCACCCAGGCCCCCTCCCTCTTCCAGCCCGTGCCACCCGACCCCATAAGGCCGCCCCGTCCTCACCGCAGGGTCTTGCGCCCTGCATCCTGGCGGGTGAAGCCGTGGTAGGTGAGCGTCTCCTCCCACACAGGCCCCCGGGTGCCCCGCACGGTGCGCGTGCGCAGCTGGCTGGCCTGGGGTGGGGCAGGGGCCGGTCAGTACCTCCTGGTCCCCAACCCAGCCTCCAGGGCCCTCACTGTACGCGCGTGCGCACTTAGCTGACCCGGGGGTGGGTCAGCACCCACTCTGCCTCCCATTGAGGGCCCCCACGCGC